GCAGCACAAATTTGATCCCTGCCTATCTAGGGAGCTGACCCACATAGTGCAGCAGACCTCTTCTGTCTCTCCCGCTATTCCCCTCAACAGTGTATTTCAGTAATCTGCCTGTTCTGTTCCCCATTCTGTCTCTAGTGAGTCCTCTTCCCCACCCACACCTCTGGCTTATGCCCCAGTTCTTGTGTGCATAAATAAATCTTTAAAAAAACCAAAAGACTACATGACATACATCTCAGTAAAATCTTTAAAGACTCATCCTCAAAACAAAGAAAGTGAAGGAAAAGATAAACAGTTGGGTTTACATCAAACTAAAAAGTTTCTGTAGAGCAAAACAGACATTAACCAAAACAAAGGGATACCCCACTGAATAGAAGATTTTTGTCCTGATAAGGAACTGATAACAAAGATCTAAGATCTCACATGACTCAATAAAGTAAGCACTTATAGAAGAAATATAGGGTAATTAAATAAGGGATCAGGAAAATGATAATAAAATAAAACACAAAACTAATAGGCAACTAACTAAATCACAGACATTCCGCAGGGGATGGGGAGGAGGAAGTATCAAAATGGAGGGAAGAGCACAAGGAACTATCGAGATGATGCACAGATAATTGGTGAAAATTTTACAGGGACTACATGTGAGGAGAGAGCAAAGGTACAAAATGAATGATGCAAAATAGAAATAAATTTTAAAAAAATGAAAGTTCCAGTAATTAGGAAATATATAAAAGGAAGAAAATTATGCAATGCAATTAATGTATGCCTAAGAGTATTTTAATTGTTGCAGTTTTGTCAAAATCATATTGCTATTAGAGGTGTAATTTTAGGTCGTGTGTGTATTTTCAGGAAGTTTCAGCTGATCCTACTGCCACACTCACAGCAGCAGAAGATAGAAAGGAGAAAGTACCAAGTCCACACCTCAGTCACTTAGTGATTTTGACATCTGGGGATACGTTGTATGGGCTGGCGGAAAGAGTAGTGGCCACAGAGTCCTTGTAAGTTGTTCAGAGGAGTTTTTATGAAATGATGATTACATACTTTTAAAGGTTATGAAAACATTTTATGATTATATTCCTAACTGCCTATCTCCTGCTCCTACTAATAAATAGCACTATTGTATTTCTGAGGTGTTTATACCAAAAATAGATTACCTACAACTGTGTGGCTGGAACATAGGAGGGAAATCTTACAAGTTTCTGTCTCGAGCAGCATGTTTCTTGATTTGAGTAAAGCTTCAGAAAAGCATTATGATAACTTTTATTCTGTTTAAATTGTGATTCTCAAGAAAGTGATTATATTGCTGGTTTCATGTTAAATAAGGTGGACCCTTGACATCAGCAAGAATGCTCCCTCACCTATATAAATCCCCAATTTAAAAATGTGATTAAAGCATGTATTTTTTTCTATACCCTGATGCCTGGTGTAAACTTAAATATTTTTGTGTACATAATGAAAAGTAGAAAAATTGTGCAGCTGTCAGTGATCTTCCAGCTGAATGACTCTCACTTCTCTTGACCTGAAGTTCACGTGTGTGTCTCAGCCAAGTTATGAATATTTGGGTTATTCCTGGAATGTGTCAGATATTAAATCTGTGAATTTAAGGATTTTTTGTATATAATTATATGGGAATTAAAAGAAAATTTAAAATACTGTTATATTCTTTTCTCTTTTGTGTCATCTGTGCTTGTATCTTAACATGCAGAGCAGCAGATCTCTATACCTTGTGACTTCCAGACAGCTCCTCAGAAATCACCCTTCTTGTACCTGAACTCTAAATCCTGTATTTTTGCTTATTTGATGGGTTATTTATTCCATTTTAGGGTATTCTTAGCAGAACAATTTGAGTTTCTGCAGCCACATCTGGATGCCGTGATGCCTGCAGTCAAAAAGCCCTTTCTTCAGCAGTTTTATTCTCAGGTCAGAGATGGTCTTCCATTGTATAACATTTCAACTGTGAACAAGATAGGGTTGTCTTCTATTTTCTAGGTTTTTTGGGTTATTTTTATTTAAATCTAAGGGTCAATTTTCAAACTGCAAAAAGGCCAGATTAAGATATTTCCTTATTTACTCATGAATTCCTGTATTAACTAGGGATATATAGAGTACTTTAGATAAAACTTTCAGTCTTATGTGTGTGAGAGAGAGATAATTAAAACTATTTACAATAAAGTATGAAAAGGGGAAAGGAACAGTGATAGGGTATTTAACCCAACTGTAAGGGAGAGGGTGGGGTTGGGAGGTGGTTGTTTAGAAAGGTTGGCAAAGCAAAGTTATATTTAGATTTGAACAGCTGGGTGAGTCAGGAGTGTTCTGGGCTGAGGGAATGGCATATGTAAACATCAGCAGATAAGAGAGGGTGGTTCAAGTGAGCAGCTGAGGACCACTCACACTGTCAGCAGAGATGAGGACAGCTGGAGTGACAGGTGGAGCCATATGCTGTATAATGTTCTCTCTCTGGAGTTGGACTTTGCTCCAAGGGTGCTGGAAAGCTACTGGAGGATTTGAAATAGGTGATCTCACAGGCAGGTATATATTTTAAGATGAGTGTTTTACGGGCATTGTGAGTTGTGGACTTCAGGTGGCAAACCTGTTGGCAGGGAGACTAATTTGAAGATTGCTACAGTAATATAGTTAAAATTTGATAGAAACCTAAAGTTGCACAGTGGTAGTGGGACTGGAGAGAAGTCAAAGAGTTTGAGAAATATTTGCTAGTATCAATGAAAATCTGTAGTTTTTTTTTTTAACAATTGTAATGTTCATGGCCTCAAGTTTTATGAGTGTCTCAAAATTTTTTTGAGTAAGACCTTTGATCATGAGTTAAAGTATGATCATTATTTAAGTCTCCAGGTATACAGTGTTTTATTTTCAAATATGAAGTATAGTAGAAACAGGAGCAAGTAGTCTCTGTAATTTGATATTTTTCAGAATATATTTGTTTTCTTGTTTTGTGAAATTTATTTTAGACAGTCTCAACTGCCAGTGAACTCCGCAAACCAATTTACTGGATTGTAGCTGGAAAAGCCATTGATTATGAACAAATGCTGCTCCTAATGGCTAATGTGAAATGGGATGTAAAGGAAATTATGTCACAACACAACATATATGTAGATGCATTGTTAAAGGCAAGTACTTTGGGAAGCAATTTGTTATATATAGACCATTCTAGGAAAACTATTCCTATTAGTGCTATGACTCTGAAATAATGAGATTATAGCCATTTCCACATTTATGGTTTTGTGCATAAAAGTTCTTGAATTGGATGGGCTTACTTCCCGAATTTATGTTCAATGGTACTTTGTAGATTTTTTGTCTCTGCTTGCTTTCCATTTTGAGTTAGATTATTGCCTGCCATGAGTGATTTTGACATTAGCTATCTCAGGTCATGACTGTAGTAAAGCTATTTCTATTTAGTAGAAGACGTTTTTATAGTTTTGTGACCATTCATTAGGAAAACCTTGCCCCTGTTTATTCTAAATTGTTTTTTCCAAGTCACATTACATTTACAATGTGTCAGATGGATACCTTTGCATTTAATTATTAATATTTGTAAGTTTTCTGGAAGGAATTTTAATTTATTTTCACTTATGTATCAAGAACTGCTTATTGATCACCTGACATATTCTAATACTGATCCAGGAGTAGACAGTGAAGTTGTGAATTAAAGAATTTGAATCCCCTCAATGAATTTACATGCTGGTGAGGGGACATTAAGATAATGATAAGAGATAAATTAAGGTATAATGTGAGATGATGAATATAGTGCTGTGAAAAAGTAACCAGCAAAAGAGAGAGTAGCAGGGTGTGATAGGGAAGAACTGTCATTATTTACCTGTGGTCATAGAAATACAAGTGAAAAGTGAGGAGAGATCTGACTAAAATGAGGAAATGAGGTGAGGAAAGAGCAGGTGAGAAAATCAAAAGAGCTTTGAGAAAATTTTGTGTTTTATACTTGCCTGCAAAGAAAATTGGTCTTTCTTAAACTCCTGACTTTTATCTCATATATACCAGTGTTTTACCTACTTAGTCTATGTTTTATCTGCTCAGCCTAGAACACTAGAGTACCAGTAAACAAAAGCAGGAGATAAAAACAGAGCTAGTAGCAGGATTCTACAGTGGTAGTGTATGAACTTCCGGCATAGTTTCTTTATGGAGGGTGAGGTTGAAGATTGTGAGTTGTTCCCCACGCTCAAAGAACCAAGGTCTAAGGGGTGCATGGCAGCAAGGGTGCTCTTTATTTATCACCCTGGAAGTACTTTGATATCCGTAACTTCCAAGAGACTTCAGTTGGCAATTTTAAATTGGGATGTGAATGATAAATCTAATTTATAAATAATGACATCCCCACTTTTTTGATTAACAGTTTTTAACAGTTGGTTTTGTTTTTTATGACATGCTAGCTGTGGTGCTCATAGAATGAGTGACTTCTGTACTCAATGAATGTGCATACAAGGAGGAGGCTATTTGCTTCAGTTAGTCTTTATTCCAAGAAATACGAATAAGAACCAGTCTTATTCAGATTAAAAATCTTAACCCAATTTTTAATATAAGACCTTTCATAAAGAACTTTTTGATAATTTTTGTTCTTCCTACTACCTTTAGATAAATGTTAACAAACCTTTAGGTAAAAGCAGTTTGCAGTTGTAGCCTGAAAGAATCACAGTAAAATGAAATGGGTTTATTTGTTACTCATTTAGCAAGCATTCTTGATCATTGACTTTAATCTTAGCAATGAGTACAGTGACATCTTATACAGTAAGCATCTTCTCATTTGTGTTTATAATAAAATGTTAATGAAGAGCACTGAGTCAACCTTTGAGATCCAGAGCAGCTTACTGTGCACAGCATGAACACAGTAGCAGATACCACCGTTTTGTTAGAGCCATACAATGAAAAGAAAGCATTTATTTATTTCACTTCCGATTTCACAGTTAAGCTCAGTGAGTTGAAAATCCACTCATTTTTCATAAATAATCAAAAAGAATTATTGTTAAAAGTAAATAAAAAAAATTGTAATTTAGGAAGTAGTGAAAGAGAAAGGGTAGCCCTTTTTTTTTTTTTTACTTTTAAAGAATAATTAAGAAAGAAAATTATTCAGATTGCTTTTTAAGTAATTGTTACGTGGTAAGACCTTTCTCTTCTCTGTGTTACTAGAAATTTAAATGCATCAGTTTGTTAAGCATCACATAGCTTCTCTATTAAAGAATGACAGAAAATTTTAATCCTTCGGTCTAATATGATATCACAAAAGTTAGTAATAGGTAATAAAAATGTTCAGTTTTTCTGAAGGTATTAGAAAATACTTTGTTTATTTTTACAGCTATTCATGACTTTATAATAATTCAGTGCATACTAATTTACTTACTTTTAAAGAATCATTAGAAAAAAATTTTCAGATTGCTTTCTAGGGAATTAACCACAAATTACAAATAATTCACTTGAGAGCAAATCTCAGCTTCTTAAAGGTATTTTTAAGGCTATCATGTGTTACTAAGCTTTTAATCCATGCAGTCACAGTAAAAGTTGCAATGTAAAAATATTTGGACATTGTTTAATCAGCTAATGACACTTCATTTAAGATAAAATTTAGTATACTCTATTCTACAACATAATTTATTCAATTTGATATACTTAGAAAAACACTTCATGTTAATTGCAAATCTTGGAATTCTTTCTTCTTGTTTTACTTGGTTTGATTCTGAGTCAGTCTAAATCTCCTGTTTTGCCACTAAGATGGGAAAGTAATATGGTGTGATTATCTTCACATATGGCTATGATTTATGTCTTATTAGGAATTTGAACAGTTTAACAGAAGGTTAAATGAGGTTTCTAAGAGAGTTCGGATACCCTTGCCTGTCTCTAATATACTCTGGGAACATTGTATACGACTGGCTAATAGGACAATTGTCGAAGGGTAAGTTTTGGCTTTTTTTTTTAAAAGCATAATATGTAAATATTAACATTGTAGCATGTAAATATTATATATTATCATTAATAGATGGAGTAAATAAAGATAATGATAACTAGCAGATAATCCCATAATAATTGTTGGACTTTGGAATATAAATTAGAGAAGAAACCTCAACCCCACAGTGACTGTCCCTCTGTGGTTTCTTTTTTTGTTGGTGACCAGGAATCAACCAGTAGAGGAGTGCAAGATGCAGCATATAATGGTTGCCTGAAAGTTAAACTGTTATGGTGATGACTATACTTAACATTTATTGAGAATTCCCTGTCATTTGCTGAGCCAAACTCTTCAGAAGGTTATATTTCCAAATCCTATCCAAAGCTCTCTTTTAAATGTTACTGTTCTGTTTTGTCAATGAGAAAAGTTAGCTTTAGAAAACTGAGGTTTTAAGAGTTAAATAACTTTCCAAGTTCACAGTTTTTCAGTGCAGAGTGAATGTTTAAACTGATTGTATGATGACAGAAATCAGTCCTCACAGCCATCTGTCACTGTTAACAATATCAGCCTTAGAACTGTGTAAATCCTTCATAGGTTGAGTTTACAAATCTGTCAATCAATAGTAATTTTCCACATAATCACAGATCATGCTTCCTTCACTTATAACACAAATAAGAATCAGTAGCATATTTAAAGTAATCCCTGGAAAGCAAACTGCTATTTTAAAGACCATTCACAGTAATCTAGAATTGCATGTCAGTTGAATTTTCACACTATTATTTGTCTGTTTTCTTTTCAGCTCTTATTTGTTTTAAAAAATGTATTCAAAAGTGGGAAGTTGACTGTGACAAGCTGAGAATAATCTTGGCATTTTGTATTTCAACCAGCAGTGCAATAAATCACAAAACAGCTCTGCATCAATAATCATTATTGAAAATCATTTTATACAAATTTGTTCAGTAAAATAGATGAGTTAATGATCTGTGTTTTCTTTGTGTAAAACATTTTATTTTTATTTAGGTAACTGTAGTTTGTGTCTTAAAGGTTCAGTACATCCCCCTTACAAATGTTCATATTAATTGAGTGGGAAAATTACAGTCTATAGAGCTACAAAGAACCTTAGATTTAATCAATTTAGTCAGTCCTTTTGCTTTGCCAGTTATGAAACTGAGGCCCAGTTATGTAAAATGTCTGCTGACTGACAGGCCGGAACATAGCCCAGTCCTTCTGACTCGAGTTCATGCGCTCTTTTTTTCTGTAATTCTCTCCTTTCTGAAGAATCTCTTCAAATAGGGGCTGGAGGAAAGTTTAAATACCTCAAGTTTTCTTTTCTGACCATCCTTTTGTTTGTTTTTTGATTCTGTCTTAGATATGCCAATGTCAAGAAGTGCAGTAATGAAGGTCGTGCCTTGATGCAATTGGATTTTCAACAGTTTTTAATGAAACTTGAAAAACTCACAGATATTAGACCCATTCCTGATAAAGAATTTGTGGAAACCTATATTAAAGCATACTATCTAACTGAGAATGACATGGAGCGCTGGATCAAAGAGCACAGGGTGAGAGCTGGAAAACAATTAAGTTTTTATTTCTTTACCTTCATGCTATTTTTCTGGTGTACTATATAATTCAAAATCGTGAGAGTGATATACAAAGAAGCATTTGTTATTAGCATGAGCCATGTAGGCCAGTTCTTTACCATACACAAACACTGTGAAGTGCTCTTTGCTTAATAAAATCCTTTTGACACCTTTGTGAAGTGTAACAGTAATTATCTGGAAGTACAGGCAGAGTCTGCACATTAGCTGTTTATACTGCAATTGTGCATTGCTGAAGTTGGGCAACATCAGGGCAAATTGGATACAGCAATGGTGAATTGATACCCTGAGCACACTGACAAGTAGTAGTGATGATTAAATATAGTAATAATTAAATAGCAAAGTTTAACTTTATTCAAATAATAGATTTTACCTTAAGTATATATAGGTATGTGGAAATACAAGGAGAGAAATTGCTACTTACTAAGTATGACTTAATCATGCTGTACATTTGATACATTTCGCTGAACATGCCACCAGAGCATGCTCAATATTGGAAATATTTCTGTGTGGTTGTTATATTATTTGTCTACACAGCAGTCAATTTGTGGAGATAGATTTAATGAAAATATGGCAAGTTAATATTATCAATCAAGTTTCATCTTTCAGTGATGTAAGTGTTCACATTTGTTTGAGCTATATACATCATGCATAAAAGCTAAGTAAAAGTTATTTCATTTGACTGGGTAACAGAGTGAGGATTTATTTTATATTTAATTTATCAGATCACCCTTTCTGGTTTCAACATTCTTTTTACCCAAAATTTTTATAAAATGTAGTATCAAAATATTTATGAGTAACATTGAAAGGCTTATAAAGTCAGTGTATTTTGATAAATTTAATAACAAAGGTTATTACAGAAAAAGGCATAACGTATATGATCTTCAAATACAAAGTTTAAGCATATTGGATAACTTACTATGTCTCATTAAAAAGATTCTAGTGCTTCCTGTTTCAAATGTATGCCAGGTATCCTTGTTCACTGTTACCACAGCTCAGTAAGCAATTTGTCTTCGTGTCTCAAGTATGATTTATACTGCTTTTCACTAATTGGTGGTGCTCAAGTATTAACCACTTAGAACTGAATATTGTCTGTTTTTATGTTGCATTGATAAAATACGTCTTTTAGTGTACTGAGTTTGGATCTTTTTTCTCTTTTGAGCAGGAATATTCAACGAAGCAGCTGACCAACCTGGTGAATGTTTGCCTGGGATCCCATATCAATAAGAAAGCAAGACAAAAACTTCTAGCAGCCATAGATGATATAGACAGGCCTAAAAGATAATGAGCACACTCTCTTTCTTCAATGTCGTTGATCTTCTATCGACATGTATGACACAATAGCCAATTTTTCATGACAAAACTAAGAAAAGTTTGCGCATGTTCTTTATTATTGGAAAGTGGAAAACAGTGAAGTTTCTGTGGTGTTCTCAGATGACTTTTATATGCTCTGATCTCTTCAGTTACTAGTTTCATTTGTTGTAATCCTTTCCTGAAATGGTATTATTGCTTCATCATAACTATTATGTGAATATGATTACACGGTTTATAGAAGAATGTACCATAAGTATATATTTAGAAGAAACAGTGACTATGTATACACAGGCAGTGTTTGGAGAATGACTTTATGTTAGCATTTTCTACCCTCTGAAATTGGTTCTTAATAAGCAAAATAAGGGAGGGTTAATGTACAGTATCTCCTAATTATGAGCACTGCATGAGAAGTGAAATGTACATGTACACTAAATAATTGAAAAATCACTATGTTCTCTGTGTTTTTAAACGTTGAAGCTTACGTCAGGGTTAATTTGGTTATGACAAAGTGATCATAAATGATGAATTTAATAAATAATATACTCTAATATGATCAGCGTCTGTGAGAATGATATTTTGATATTTTTCTATGGCAGAATTCAGAAATGATAACGCCGTTTTTTAGTGTGGTACAGTATGAGTGATCCTTATCCTAAAACCTGTGGCAAAAATTATTTAATTGGGCATTCCTTTTTAGGGCTCTCATAGCATGCCGAGAGGTGATTATGATTATGGAATTTTAAGTATGAGACATTTTTTCATGTTAGCTTTACCCTCTTTAAATTCAACTTCTGTCTGAGGACAGCAAATCCTAGACTGTGTTAGAAAGGCAACCATGATATTCATCTTCCTTAAATATTAATTTTATCACAAGTATAAATTAATGGGAGTTTAATTAATGATAAAATTGGAACTCAGCTAATTAGTTTTTAGTAACTATGTACTGTTAATCTAAACTGTGCTTTGAAGCCAGGGATCTTCTACCAAGACAACCATCGTAATAACAGTTTCCCATGCACTCCTGTCAGCTGTCTGGTAAGGGATTTTTTGTGTGTTCTTTCTCACTGAATCTAAATGTGTGTGGTGTTGGCCTAGGATTTTGTGCATGACCTGTAACATTAACAGCTCACAGAATAATGAAGCATCTTAAAAAAAAAAAAAAAAACCTGTCTGTGTCCTGTGAGTTTTCTGGGAGCTAAAGTGGAGGAGTAAGGGGGAGAAGTGGCAAATGGTCAAGAGACAATTGTCATTCAGTGATCTGTCCTGTGGTTAACCATAACCGGCAAGTGTAACAGGAAGCTCTTTTAGAATGTGTGTGTGGGTCGGTTTTTGTGTATCTGTGATGATCCACAACCCCTCCCTTTGCAGTTCATTTACTGTTGATTTAATAGTGACAGTAAAGCTTTCTTCATGGTGCCGTTGCCACCTACGTGGGGTGCTGGAGTGTGTACTTGGAAGGTAAATTCCGCCAGTAGTTGTTTCCTGTGCAGCCTTTTTAGGAAAACAAACGTGATAAACTTGGCCCTTGTGTTTAAAATGACATATGCAGCTGGACACATAAAGAGTTAATCAATTTCATTAGTTTCTTAGTTGATTAGGAACTATTGTTTCTTACTTTTTTTTTTTTAAGATTCATTTATTTATTCATATAGAACTGGGGTGCAGGCCAGAGATGCGGAGGGTGAGAGGATTCACCAGACACAGAGTGGGGAGCAGAACAGGCAGATCGACGAAGTACACTGCTGAGGGGAGCAGTGGGCGGGTCAGGAGAGGTCTGCCACGCCATGTGGTCACCTCCGGGGCAGGCAGGGCTCAGACTCATACAGAAGTGGCTTAAGCTTCTTAGTGCTGTGCTTTAACCTGCTGCGCCACCAGGGAGGGCCTGTTTCTTACTTTTTAACGCAAATTTTATAGTAGACTTACTTTAATTTTTACTTTAGCTTGCTCTAAGTACTATGAACAGCATTTACCTGCTTGGTAGAGTGTTTTCTAGAGTGGTAGGAATTGATAGAAATGAGTTACTCATCTTGTTAAAGACTTACCCATGCAGTGGTGTAGGCCTTTTAACTTAATCTTACCTTGCTTTCTCCATCTTCAAAATAAAAATGGCAAATCTTGGGCTCTCCCTGGTGGTGTAACAGGTTAAAGTACTGCACTGTGAAGGAGCAGCAGCTTCAGAATGGTCTGGATCCCCGGCCAGGGAGGTGACCCACATGGTGCATTCAGACCTCTCCTGTCTTGTCCTCTGCTTCCCTCAGTAGTGTACTTCATTGATGTGCCTATTCTGCACCCTACTCTGCCCCAGGTCAATCCTTTCACAGCCCCTGCACCTCTGGCCTGCACCCCAGTTCTGTATGAATAAATAAATCTTTAAATAAAAATAACTATTTTTTTCAGTGCTTTTTGATGATGCAGTGGGCTAAAGTATAGCACTACGAAGCTATCACAGCCACTGCAACATGAGTTCAATCCCTGGCCAGGGGGTTATCCACATGGTGTGGTAGATCTCTTCTGACCCGCCTGCTGCTCCCCTCAGCATTGTATTTCAGTCAATCTGCCTGTTCTTCTCCTCCATCTGTCTCTGGTGAATCCTCTCACCCTAATCCCCCACACCTCTGGCCTGTACCTCAGTTCTGTATGCATAAACAAAGTCTTTTTAAAAAAGTAGTTCAATATGTGCTAATTAACATCAAAATAATTAAATCATGAAATTGCCTAGTATTAATGGAGTTACCAAATAACTCTCAATCTATTATTCAGTGATATGGAATTATAACCTTGTAATAATTTGTGAGACAAATTTTAAGATAAATAGAATGAAAAAGGCTGTAAATATAAATGGAATCATGCATGTTCCCAAAACTTGGTATTATGTAAACAGTTCTTTTTATGTCTAAACTTTCGTTAGCTTTGATATTTTATATAAAAAAGTCTTGTATGGGCCCTCCCTGGTGGCGCAGCAGGTTAACTCAGTACTGAGAAGCTAAAGCCACTTCAGCATGAGTTCGATCCCGCCCTGAGGTGACCCACATGGCACGGCAGACCTCTCCTGATCCACCCACTGTTCCCCTCAGCAGTGTACTTCATCTACTTCATCAGTCTACCTGTTCTGTTCCTCACTCTGTCTCTGGTGTCACTGCCCCTGCATTTCTGGCCTGTACCCCAGCTCTATAGCCATAAATAAATAAATCTTAAAAAAAAAATGTCTTGTACAATTTAAGATTTTAAGTTGCAATAAGAACATTGTACATTACTCCCTCAGAAATAATTATTCTGCATCTATATTGTCTTGCTGTAAAACATGCTGGGAGATATATAGTGATGCAAATGAACTAGTTTGCTTCAGGCTATAAATCCTAAAAAGGTCATATATGTTCACTTTGACTAGCAAGTTCATTTGCTCAGTTTATAAAGTGAAATAGAATTTCTCTTGAAGCCAGAACCATGTGGTGTTTTCCTTAAGGAAAATTTTCTTTAAAAATTTTTTAGCTGAGTGTTGAAACTTAAAATTAGGTGAAAGAATAGCTTTTCCATTGCCTACTCAATGAAACGTAGTCATACAAAAGGCTTGTAATTCAATTTACTTTGAAAGCATAGTTATCTTTTGTAATGAGAAATTTGGACTTAATAAATAGAAGTTGTACACAGAACAAAAACAAATTGGTCCAGGAGGAAAATATTTCCATTTATATATTTAGTCTTTGGAGTAATTTTAGTGTAGACTTAGTAGTTAACAAAGTGATATTTAACGTTTGCCAATGATTAATGGCAAGAGAATTATTAATACCCTGTTGTAATCTTTGTAAATGTTAGGATCTGTGCAGCTTTCTACAGATTATTTTCTACTACACTGGAAAATATTTGCTCAATTCTTATCATCCACAGATTTTTAAAGGCCATCAAAAAGTGTAATCTCCATGGTTCTTCCAAGGACAAAAGTGTGTCAGATTTCATACATGAAAAATTTTAGTTGATTAAAAATGGAGTAAATAGTTCATTAGTTTTAATAATACTTTTCTTGATTAGCAAATCCTTTTTTTAAATTTCTAAGTATAACTGTGAAATATCTTTTGATTTGTAAACAAAACCACACCTAAGTATTGTTCACTTGGTGGGGTTATTGGGGGAGGGGTAAAAACATGGGGAATAAGGATAACTTTCTGGGGTTTTGGTACTTTAAAGATACGCTTTATTTTTGTTTTGTTTGAAGGACTCAATCAAGATAGTGTCTTTTCCATGAGGCTTATCTTAGGAGTACATATAAAGAAGAAAAACAGGGAATAGTGGTGGTAACACAATTTTACCAAGTTGATAGCAAAAGACCTCACTTGAAAGGTAGTGGGAGACACCACAATTTTGGGGGGCAGTGTTGTAGACTGAAGTAATAGTAAGTGCAAGGCCCTCAGGTGAAGGCCACTATTATGATAACAGGGAGGCCAGCCAGGGTAGCTAGCATAGTAAATGGGATAGAACAGGAGGCTGACACAGAGTGAAAGCCTATGGTCATAGAAGGGACTTTGCTTTCAGATGGGAAGCATTTGGAGAGTTGTGGGCATAATGGTGACCTGATTTCTGGCTTAGGTTTTAGCAAAATGATCCTGCTTTTGAAAAAAGAGGTCATGGAGAGGGATAAAGATTGAAGCATAGAGACACTAAACTAATACAGTACCCCAAAAGAGACATGATGGTGGCTATAATGCAGTAGTGTTGGTAGATGGGAAGAGAGATGGTCATATTCTGGACATATTTTGCAAGTAGAGAATAGAATTTGTTGATGGTTGATGTGATGTTTGAGAAAACAAGTAAAGATGATTTTATGACTTGGTTTGCCCTATGGAAAACAGTATGGAGTTCTCTCGAAATACAAAAATTTGATCTGCCATATGAGCCAGCAATCCCAATCCTGGTATCTATCTAAATATACAAAAACACTAATTCAAATGTATATGTGTATGTATATATATGTATATACTATGTTCGTTCATAGCACTATTTACAGTAGTGGCATACAAGCAGGATGGAATATTACTCAGCTGAACAAAAAGACCCATGAATTCTTGTCACTGTGACAGCATGGATAGAACTGGAAATGCTTATGCTAAGCGAAATCAAGTCTGAAGGAGAAAGTCAAAACAGGTGATTCTGGATTTGTAGTATAAAGAAGCAAAGGAACAGACAAAAATTTTTATCCATGAATATTAATGACTGTTGATCCTACAGTTTGGGCCCCTTCAGGGTTGCCATTTATCTTCCAGTTGGGCTCAAGACAACTTCCACCTTCCATATCATTGTAGCATTGTCCTTCCCCTTTCCCATGGTCATCAGGAGAGATGAACAGGGCCAGGAGAATACAGGGACGGTACTGGGGGAGGGTTACATTTCAAAAATTTCAATTAACAATGCAATTTCTGAAAATTTTCTTTACCCCTGTAGGCTGCCTGAGATGAAGCTTGACTTATTTTTGTAGATTTTCCTAGATCAGTGGTTCTCAAAGTATAGTTACCAGCAAGCCTACCATGTCACCTGGGAACTTGTTAGACAAGTAATTTTTCAGGCCA